ATCAGGACATGGCTCAGTAGGTATATGGAGCGGTAGGTACCTGGGGGAGATCAGGACATGGCTCAGTCGGGTATCTCTCCGGCCCAGCTGGGATGATAGAAGAGCTCCAGGCAGCACGTTGTCACTTCCTCTAGGATGGGATCGCAGAGGGGGGTGGGAGCCGTTGGTGGCTGGAAGTTTTCAGTGTCCCTTCATAGGATGCACAGAGTCCTCCACATCCCAGGATGGCTCCTATCTCCAGGCTGCCGCTCATGCAGATGTCACCTCCATACGCCGTGTCGCCGTCGCATCTCTCTCCAGCCTCTCATCACATTCAAACTCACCCCGAGCCCCTTCTCTTCTGAACAGCTGAAGGGTGACGTCACCTGCTCCGGACCACACCATGTCTGCTACACAGAGGGGGGGTTGGGGCCAGCAGCCATCGCAGCCACTGAAAATACTTGGTGCTGAAGACAATGAGGAGTGCATGGGGAGTTCTGAGAAATAAATCTCTCTGTGTTCAGGGACAAAGGCAAGCTTTGCTGTGGGTGGGCTAATGGAAGCAAGGAATAATGAGTTGAGTAATCCCCCCCCCAAAAAAAAAAACAGCAATGGTCTGGGCTGGAGATAATGGTAGTCAGTGGGAAAATTGGGGTGGCTTGTCCCAGGACAGTATGATGACTGATCACTGGCCAGAGATATCATCATCATCAGAAACAATTATCAGAAACAACATCCATAGCCATCACTTTTCTTTCTCATTTTGGATAGAGTAGGGAAGGTTATAACCCCTGTCAGTTCCTTTGCCATCTGCCTCCCATTGAGGAGATTTCCTTTCACTTCCTGTCCCATAGCCAAAATAGGAAGTGAGAGGAAGTCCCTCCAAAGTGAGGGAATGTTTGGGTGTCACCAGAACTAGTGTCCCCATTGGAAGATTTCCCCTTTGTTCCTGTTCTGGTGACAACCCAAAATTTGGAATTTTCTTTCAATCTCGGTAATAATAGTAAACTGGATAAATAGAGAATATCTCCCCAACAGGGGCACAGACTGCAATAAAAACTGACCGGTGTTCGAATCCCTCTCCAGTCCATACAAAACGAAGGAAGACATTTTTGCCTTTAGTTACACTTTTAATATGAAGTACAGGAAGAATTACAGGGTGGTTATCACTCATAATCTCTCCTCACTGCAATACATACATTAGACTCAAGCACGCGTGTGCTGTTTATACTAAGAAGGAAGAATACATTTAAAGCTGAAATCCAGGCAACCAGCTAAATACGCCAATAAAAAGTATGTAGGAGAGCATCTACAATTTGTTTTTCAGTCCATCCAGTCTTGAGATTTACACAGCTCTGCTACATAGCACATCCCTGTCTGGTAGAGGAGGGGAACTGATTTAGTGCAGACCTTTAAGGCTCATTCAGACGTGCGATTAGTCCTGTTCTCCCTGCAGAACTGCTGGCAGATGCATGAGCATGCATGTCAGAGCCGTGTGCAGGCAGCCCATAGAAGTGAATTCACATGCAGTGTAAAACGTTGACATGCAATTGTGTATGTGCATTCACTGCGTGTGCATCCACTTCTATGGGCTGCCTGCATACGGCTCTGACATGCATGCACACTCATCTGTCTGGGGCCGGAGCTAATCGCTCCTCTGAATGCGTTCTTACTCAAAAAAAAGATTTCCTACTATAGTCCTCCCTCTGGGATTCTTCACACTCCATCCCCTCCCTCCTTCCTCCAGTCTTGCAGAATGACCCCAGCCTTGTTCCTGGGCAGGGGCGAACTGACCATTTGGAAACTCGGGCACTGCCCGAGGGCCTGGGGTCAGTAGGGGGCCCCATGAGATGCCCCTGGTACCTTTTTCATAGGCTTTTTTGAGTTTGGGCAAGGACACAGGGGCCCCATTATCCCCTATTGCTCGGGGGCCCCATGAGTTGTCAGCCCGCCCCTGTTCCTGGGTCCTCTGGGATGTACAGGTGTCATATCCTATGAAGCATCAGCTAGCCAGATGCAGCCAGAGAAGGCAGAACCTGGCAGTGTGTTCTCAGGGGCCAGCTGCCAGAACCCAGAACGAATGTCCTCCCAATGATATAGGAAGGAGGATGGAGGCATTAGACCCTAGCATGGCAGCAGATCACAGCCTGTGCTGGATTTCTCATTAGGCACTGTAGTCATGCGCCTACAGGCACCCTTCATAGAGGGGCACCTGCCACACCTGTCTGGAGAGAGAGAGAATTTTGCGCTTCTCTCCCTCCCGGGTTCAGCTACAGGCTGCGTGGCAGCAAACAGCAGCGTCTTCAGGATGTGGGTAATCCAACAGACAGAGGACGCGGTGAAGATAGACAGCGAGGACAACTAGGCCTGAAAGCCAGAGAGGGAGAAGAGCTCCATCACCTCCTTGACCCCTGAAGAGGAAAGCAGCAGTGGGTGAAGCATCCCCAGCGCCTCCCTGAACCAGAACTCCTCCAGTCTCCACTCCAACATCAACATCACAGTCTGCAGTGTTCCCCTTACATCAGAGTTCCCCTTTACATCAAGGTCTGCAGAGGTCCCCCTTGCACTGTAAGGGGGAACCCTGCAGATTATGATGTAAAGGAGAACTCTGAGGACTCTGGTATAAGGGGAACTCTGGGGACTCTTGTGTAAGGGGGGGCTCTGGTGACTATAGACCCCCTTACATCAGAGTTCCCCTTTACATCAAAGTACACAGAATTCCCCTTTACACATAAAAATATTTATACAAAAATATTTCATAGAAAAAAAAAAAGTCGGGGGGGGGGGGGGGGGGGGGCCTTCAGAATACTCTGCCTACAGGCTCCTGAGCTGTAAATCTGGTTCTGATCACAACTGGTCATGTGGATACATTTATAGCAGATATCCTACAGAAATAGGTGAGAGGGGACGATAAAATAAAAAAAATCACAGGGGGTAATAGGTCTTGTCCCACCCCCAGCCTGTCAATGGACACTGAAAGAAAAAGCAGTAGGCTGATGAGCTCAGTTCACCCTCTCCCAATCTGAACTCTGCTGTACAGGGGCTGTAAGGGGCCAATACTTAGGCTAGGTTCACATCTATGCAGAATTTGTTTGATGCATTTCTGTATTGCGTTGCGGTTTGCACTTGTGATTTTGCCACGTTTTTGATGCATTTTGAGGGTTTTATTTTTTGTTGCTAGGCAGATTTTAAATGCAAAACGCATCAAAAATGCGACAAAAACGCAGAAAAGACGCAATACATGCTTTTCTGCAGCATTCCCATTGAAGTCTATAGAATCAATAATGCAACGTTTTGCGTTCAAAAAAGTCCCTGACCCTTTCCAAAAAACACATCGGGTGAAAACACAGAGATGTGAACATGTCCAATAGGAAATCATGTTAAATGGACTGTACTGCGTTTCTGCAAAACTCTGCAGAAAACACTTAGGTGTGAACTTGGGGTAAGTCAGATTCAGGTTCTCACACTGCTTTTAAGAAATACATTTTATCATGTAGAGGCAACGTTTACACCAGTGATGGGGTGAGGATAGTTTGCTGCATTCAGAGGCTCTGGATGAAGATACACTTTGTATTAAGGCCAGATACAAGCTGGCCAATTAGTTGGGGCTAGTTTGTGTATGGGCAAAACACAGAAACACTGGAAGCATGCTAGCTGTTGACACAGGGTCACTCAGGGGCTCTATTTACATGTAACCTCTGTCCATCTTCCTTCCTTCATAATGTCCTTAATTCAAGGGGCACACTGTCACCCCTGACAGGGCTTCCATCTTCACCTGTGCCTTCTTCCAGGTTCCCGGGCTCTGGCAGCTAGAATGGCCGAGCCGCGATGACGTCACTCCCTCGCATGCATGCAAGAGTCACTTTTTATGGCACACAGCTCTGGAGGAATAGCATGGACATGGTTTAGGTGATATTTACAGTACCTACAGGCACAAAATGGTAAAATAAATGACTTTACTACCACTTCAAACTCACCTGTAGCCATAATTGATGCTGAAAATATAGAAATCACACTGGCAACCAGTTAAAAAAATTGACTCAACTTTTCTGTTGTGTGTATCTGTGTGCCACATGGAGCATGGAGAAGAGAAAGAGCAGCAAAGAATTGTCTGAGGATTTGATAACAAAAATTGTGAAAAGCATGGACAATCTCAAGGTTACATTGCCAATCGATGCTGTGCAGACACAGATTCATACATCAGCAGAGTACTAGAAACTCCTCCCTCAGATCTTTTCCTGAGGACAGGAAAGACCTGGGAAATGTCATGTGACTGCTGAACAGCAATGATTCAATAAGGTACTCAGATGATTTATTTATATTAAATCAAATACAGTGGCATGATCTTTATACACTGTATTGGGATGTCTGCCTTTACAAGCACATGAACTTTAATGGCATCCCAGTTTTAGTCCGTAGGGTCAATATTGAGTTGGCCCACCCTTTGCAGATATAACAGCTTCAACTCTTCTGGGAAGGATGTGCACAAGGTTTAGGAGTGTGTCTATGGGAATGTTTGACCATTCTTCCAGAAGTGCATTTGTGAGGTCAGGCACTGATGTCAGACGAGAATGCCTGGCTCTCAGTCTCCACTCTAATTCATCCCAAAGGTGTTCTATCGGGTTGAGGTCAGGACTCTGTGCAGGCCAGGCACGTTCCTCCACCCCAAACTCGCTCATCCATGTCTTTATGGACCTTGCTTTGTGCACTGGTGTGCTGTCATGTTGGAACAGGAAGGGACCATCCCCAAACTGTTCCCACAAAGTTTGGGAGCATTAAATTGTCCAAAATGTCTTGGTATGCTGACACCTTAACAGTTCCCTTCACTGGAACTAAGGGGCCAAGCCCAACCCCTGAAAAACAACCCCACACCATAATCCCCCCTTCACCAAACTATACACTTGGTACAATGCAGTCAGGCAAGTACCGTTCTCCTGGCAAATGCCAAACTCAGACACGTCCATTGGATTGCCAGACAAAGAAGCGTGATCCGTCACTCCAGAGAACACGTATCAACTGCTCTAGAGTCCAGTGGCGGCATGCTTTATACCACTACATCCAACGCTTTGCATTGCACTTGGTGATGTAAGGCTTGGATGCAGCTGCTTGGCCATGGAAACCCATTCCATGAAGATCTGTACGCACTGCTGTGCTAATCTGAAGACCACAAGAAGTTTGAAAGACTTTAGCTATTGACTCTGCAGACAGTTGGCGACTTCTGCACACTGTGTGCTTCAGCATGCATTGACACCGCTCTGTCATTTTTCATGGTCTACCACTTCATGGCTGAGTTGCTGTTATTCCCAGTTTCTTCCACTTTGTTATAATACCACTAACAGTTGACTGTGGAATATTTAGTAAAAAGGAAATTTCACGGATGGACTTATTGCACAGGAGGCAACCTATCACGGTACCACGCTTGAATTCACTGAGCTCCTGAGAGCGACCCATTCTTTCAGAAATGTTTGTAGAAGCAGTCTGCATGACTAGGTGCTTGATTTTATACACCTGTGGCCATGGAGGTGATTGGAACACCTGAATCCAATGATTTGGAGGGGTGTCCCAATACTTTTTGCAATATAGTGTATATAAATAAAAGGGATAATGGCAATTAAACATTGTATGTTTAGTATCACTTATCATTTAAGTGTTGCATATTGAGACTTCATTCATGTCCCTGCATAGCAGTGCAGTGCAGCGCTGGATGCTGTGCCATCAACTGTACTGAGAAAAAAAAAAACAATTGTCTATGTGCCGTAGCAGTGACCTGCATTTATCCAGTGTAGACAACTGCAGATAGTGTAAACAAGTGATGCAATGGCCTCCTTATGCAGGCCATAGATGGGTCGAAAACCGGCTATTTTTTTAAAAAAAAAAAGAAAAATCGGTCATTCAATAGGCCGATACCTACGGTACCTTACCACCAATGGTAAAAAAAATCGGCTGATTTTCGTCCCATCTACGGCCGGCATTTAATTACTTCTGTCCCTGCAGAGAGCTCTGCTATTATATTTGACATTAAAAAGTATAGCGGTTGCAACATTGTATCTATTTGTATCCATTTTGGATACAGATGGTTTTATTCGGATACAAATAGATACATTGTTGCAACCACAATACTTTTTAATGTCAAATATAATAGCGGACTGGAATTCTTTTTTTTCTTCTTTTTCTTTTTCTTCTTCTTCTTCATTTTCTTCTTCTTTTTCTTGCAGGTCACGGCTCATGCGCAGATTTTTTATCTGTAAAAAGATCGGCCAATTTGCCCATCATTGCTGCGAAAATCGGCCGATTGACAAAATAGGACGATTTTTTTCCAACTTTATAGATTAAAAAAAGTGCCAAAATCCAGAAAAACGGCCGACCAATTAAACCAATAACGGTGCGAAAATCAGACGATTTTCAACCCATCTATGGCCTGCATTAGTCAACTCATGGGTTAAAGTGGTAGTATACTCGTTTTAAGAAAAAAAAAAAAGTTTCCTGCTGCAAGGTAATTTAATAATATATGCATCGCATACTAGCACATTATGAAAGACATACCTTAGAACGATTCCTCCAGTGGTGCACTGTCACCTCTGACAGGTCTTCCATCTTCACCTGGTCTTCCTTCCGGGTTTGCAGGCTGCTTGAATGGCTGAGCCGCGATGACGTCACTCCCACACATGCAAGCAGGAGTCTCGGCCACAGCACACACTTCTGAAGGAACAGCACAGGTATGCTGTTGCTTCAGAACGCATGCACCGGTGATGTCACCGGCTGCTGCTCCATAAAATATCTCCTAAACGGTGCACATTTAGGAGATAGTCGTTTTAGAGACAGGTAAGCTTTATTATAAGCCTACCTGTAGGTAAAAATGAATAAAGTGATTTTACTACGACTTTAGATAAAACATCACTGCATCCTTGCAGCCATAATAATATCACACAAATTTTTAACACCTACATGATAAATAAGGGGAATAGGTTTAATGAGGATGTTTTTACAACAGTTGATGGTCAACTGACACTTGCTCATAGATGTTCTGGCCCCACAGAAAAGAGTTCACACCTAGATCCTAGAGAAAGGACTTGGTGTCCTGTCTATTCACATGAATCTGTTTAGAATAATTCATAATCCCAGTTCCAAAACGTTTTGCAATGCAATGGGACCACATGTCTTAAAATGTGATGTACTTTAACCCATTCCCTGCAGGCTTGGCTGATTCCTTAGGATGGGGCTCACCAGGGTTTCAGTGGATGCTTTCTAGGAATATCCTGTGGGCAACCTGGCTTAACCTAAACCTGGGACCTCTGATTGAACCTGTTGTCCTGCCTACCATGGTAACTCTCATTTTCCTGGGCACAAGCCCGTGTCCAAGAGTACGCCCATCAAAACAGGTTAAGCACCTAGGCTCCTAAAAAAAATAGTTTGTCTTTACTGAAGAACGCTAAAAAACCCTTTTTAGCTGTACTTTTCTTTAGGGTTATAGGAGTACATTTATAATTGTATACCTGTGATCCAGAGTCAGCTGATAGCAGGCTATTCATGTGTACTCTTCAGCGCTCCAGGAATTAAATGCCAAAGGAAGGCCAAGGGAACCAGTACCAAGGTGGTGTATGGATAGCGTTTCGGAGATGCAGCCCTCCTCAGGCAGGGAAATCAACAACTGGAAAAGAGCAGACAGGTGGTGCATACACCTAGTGCATTATCCTAGGTTTATTTAAAAGTGAAAATTACTAAAAAACATATTCACAAACATGGCATTTATGTAAAGCTCAGTATGAAGGTAGAGATGGCCAAAACAATGGCAGGGTGTCTGACTGTCAGTGTGGTCAGCTAACGCGTTTCGGGGACGAGTCCCTTTCCTCAGAGCTAGTGACCAGCCTGGATTTGGGTCATGCTATAAATAGCTATGGCTGAAGACATAAAGAGCTGTGCTCCTCTCCTTAGGTTTGTTAAAGGGGGATGGAAAGGGGGGGGGTTAATTATAACCATAGGTACCAAAAGTGCTTGTAACCACAATGTAAATATAATGGAACATATACCATATGCCTGTATAGTTACGGCAACCAATACATCAACATCTCAAAGCATAGTATTTGAAATTCAGTGGCACTAAAAGATAACAATGTGAAAGTGTTAAAAATGTTGAAATAAAATAAAACAACCAAGGAAGTATGCATTGTACACACTTATTCCACAGTACCTCGTGTCAGGATCCAATCCTGGATGTAAGTATAGGGTATCGTTTGGAGAGACTGTGCTGCTTAGAATACCTGGTAAGTATAATGGCTGGATTGGAAGTGCTGTGAGAAATGCAGGTCATAAAATGGCCGCTGGAACACACGTTAATGTGGTCGTGCACTCCAGGGGACCAGAGATATGCATCCTGCTGATGCAGAAGGAGGAAGGGTGTGTAAAATGGAACATACACCAACGTGGAACTGCAAAATGACATTTATTTACGTGATTTTGCACAGTAACACTGCCCTGTAGCAGTAAAACTGCTATAGGGTGGAGGGAAAGTGGTTACTGACCTAATGACACTGGCTGGCAAGGGTTAAAATCTCAGGTAATCAAGGGGTTATGCACTGGTTCACACTGATGTGAATTCTATGCAGATCAGATACGATCCGAAAACCACAGATTCGTTTGTAATCTAGAAAAGCATTCTTTCCAATTCAGGCTGTTCACATACAGTCAGGTCCATAAATATTGGGACATCAATGCAATTCTAACATTTTTGGCTCTATACACCACCACAATGGATTTGAAATGAAACGAACAAGATGTGCTTTAACTGCAGACTGTCAGCTTTAATTTGAGGGTATTTACATCCAAATCAGGTGAACGGTGTAGGAATTAAAACAGTTTGCATATGTGGCCTCCCACTTGCTAGGGACCAAAAGTAATGGGACAATTGGCTTCTCAGCTGTTCCATGGCCAGGTGTGTGTTATTCTCTCATCCCAATTACAATGAGCAGATAAAAGGCCCAGAGTTCATTTCAAGTGTGCTATTTGCATTTGGAATCTGTTGCTGTCAACTCTCAAGATGAGATCCAAAGAGCTGTCACTATCAGTGAAGCAAGCCATCATTAGGCTGAAAATACCCTCAAATTAAAGCTGACAGTCTGCAGTTAAAGCACATCTTGTTCGTTTCATTTCAAATCCATTGTGGTGGTGTATAGATCCAAAAATGTTAGAATTGTGTCGATGTCTCAATATTTATGGACCTGACTGTATATGCAGTGTGAATCTGATGTGGTCCAAAAAAAAAGTCCTGTGCGTGTTTAGTGCGGGTGTGATGCAAATTCCATCTCCTGATATGCCCAGTCCCCGCAGAAATCGCATTCAATTCGCACCTGTCACAGCAGAAATCACACTGTGATACCACACTGTGAAACCGCATCAGATTCACACCACATCAGGGTGAACTGGTACTCAGAGGGGTTTATTTACTGAAGCTGGTTTGCTCAGAATCTCATGCACTTCTACATAGAAACCAATCAGCTTCTAGATTTTATTGCTAACGTTTAAGTGAACAAGCTGAAGTTAGAAGCTGATTGGCTACCATGCACAGTTGCACCAGATTCTGAGTGAACCAGCTTTAGTAAATAAACCTCACTGTGTGCCTAACAAGTGTTAATGTGTGTATTATGTGCTGCTTTTTACTAAAAATCTCTTAATTCCTTCTCCCTGCTTTGAAATAATTTGTAAGTTTTATGACAAAGTTCTCTTGGAGAACAGATCTACAAACTAAAACTGCATTGTATAAAAAGTACTAGCCATAAGAATCAATAGGTTTATAATGATGTACTCCCCTCCCAATAAATATAGAGTAAGTACCATGACTTAAAGTATATGTAAACCGCTCAAAATAAGAGGGCTATATGGAGACTAAATGAGACACTTATACAAGACCCCGATATAGAGAAAAGGTTAAGGGAAGTGTTAGAGCAATTTTTTGCTCTGAATGAAACAGAGGAATTATCGGTGGCGACTATATGGGAGGCACATAAGGCCTATATATGAGGGGAATCTTGATTGCCGTAGGAACAAAAAAAAAAGAGAGATCGAGAGAGAGGAAATTAAAGGGATAAATAAAGAGTTACATAAACTAGAACAGGCACATAAAAAAGCAGGATATAGATTTGTACTGGAATATTACCCATGAAAGAGAAGAACTGAAGGACTTATTAGAACAGGAAACGAGGAAAGTCTTTAATAGAGTATCAAAGAGAAAAGATACCAGTGGGGGAATAGACTAGGAATATTTATGATGAAAAGACTGAAGGAAAATAAATCAAAAAATTATATAGAAAAAATGAAGGATGATGATGGGGAGCTGATTTATTCTACCACTGGTATTGCTGATATGTTTCAAAAGTTTTATAGAGTTGAACCTT